CACCCAAATATCTCATTTCTGGGTCCCTTCCTCCTTCTCTTCCCCCACCCCTCAATACTCCAGGACAATGTTAATTTGGTTGTTACCTTAGGAAACATACTTACTCAGAAGGAAACTAGCCTTCCATTGAAACGTACAGAGCTGTACTGGCTTCCAAGATTCAGATCAGGACCACAATCTCCACTTCAATCTGAAAGCCTAAGCAAGTTTATTTAAAAGCAAGTTTATTTAAAAGGAAAGGCTCAGGAGTGCATAGAAATGCAGTGCTAAGAACTTGGACACTGAAGATCTTTGCTCAGAGTAAGTTCTGTGTCTTAGTGGAACCTGCTTTTCAGGAAATGGCAACTTTAGATGGCAACTTTAAGTAGAGAAGCCATTTATAGTCAAAGCCTGATACAATACTCCTCTTCCACTCTCTCTCCATTCTCCGTAGGAATACGTTAAATACCTATGGACCCAAACAGGACCATCAGTCAATGCAATTAAATTCTAAGTATTTTGGATCAGGGTATTAGGTCTGACTCCAGACCATAGGACTGCAATCCTATGTAAATCTGCAGTGGAGTCAATTAAATCGAATTCAGCAGGGCTTACATCTGAGAAGATAGGCGTTAGAACTATCTTCTGGGAACAAGTACTGTTGTAGACACAATCTAGCCGAAGTTAGCCACCTGAAGCATAACCCAGCACACAAGTTTAGACACAAAGACCTACAACTCTCAGCATGCCCCAGGGACTTCATTTGGGAGTCGGTCCCACTGAATCTAGTAGGTCTTACGCCCTGGTGAAAAGTATGGCACAGGGCTGCACAAGTGCTTAACTTGGGATCTGGGTATGCCAGTTTCCAAATAGGCAAGGGCTCCTCGGAATCATTTTGTGAGCGGCAGGACCCCTTGCATCGCTCTTGCTTGGTGCTTGCAACCAGTTAAGTCTATAGGAATCCAGTTTAGGCCTCCGTTCCAAACGTTGTGCTGAATCTTGCTCACTTTTATGCTACTTTTGATCATGGCTTTGCTAGATCCGGAGCAAGAGTGCCCCCCCTCCAGTTCATTGCAGCTGAACAAAGCAGACATGTGAAAACCCATGACGGTCTGCCTCTCCGCCAAAAATGGCGCTCATCCAAAGCACGCTTCAGCCTGGTCCATTTGAGGCTGGCGCTTGATAGCCACTCATGTCCATGGTCTCATCGAGTGCCTGCTCAGAAATCAGCTCCCCTCAGTTCCAGGGGGCATGTTCCCAGGTCTCTGTGTGCTCCACACCAGCCTACTGGGACCCCATGCCCTCCGGGAGCTTTGGACTCCCGGCAATTCCAGCAGCCCCAGCCATCGTGGCTAATAGTGAGGGATGCTGGGCATTTGTAGGTCTGCTTATTTTGTTGGAACTACCAGGCTGGGGAAGACCAATTCTGCTTCAGACTGGCCAAGGCACACCTAACTCGGCATCAGATCGGAGCGACTGCTTGTTGCTTGATTGTTTAGCCGAGGCATCGATCCCTTCACAGGAAAAGTTCCCGAGGCGGTGACGGAGGAGAGTTGCGGGGTTGTCCTGTCGGGAGGATGACCAGTGCCATAAACTGGCTGAAAAAACATTCCCACTCAGCCCGGGCAATAATCCGCTTGCCTGCAATGCAAACTCATCAGGTTTGCAGCCAACTCCTTAAGCGAAATCTACTCGGAAGCAAGCTCCAGGGGCTTATTTCCAGGCTTACGCTGAGGACTGCAGCTTTCCTGGCTGTGGGGGAGCCCTCTCCGCTGCGGTCGCTTTCCTCCGAGCATCCAACCCTCCAAACCAGGGCAGTCGTGATTCTGTGCGGCACATTAGATTCCGCATCCGCGAGAGTCATTTCTGCAGCACTTCGCATCACCTCCAGCGCTTTGCGGTTCTTCCCCGTCCCGGGCTGCGCAGCTTCCTCTCTTTCCCCGCCTCGTGAAATTCAGACGGAAGGGGGTCAGCCGCTGCTGCAACCCCGCACAGCCGTCCTGGGGACACGCTGGGACGCGCTCCCACGTGAACCTGGGCAGGGAGGGTCGGCCCGGCTCTCCTCCGCCAGGCTGCCTGAAGGGGCTCCTGGCGGAAATCCACTTGGTACCAGAGCAAGCGGCTGCCGCCTGGCTGCCTCTTCCAACCCGCAGACATCTCGCCCTCCTTTCTCGATTGCTCTGGCCTGGCCGGCCTGGCCTTGAGCAAGAGCCCTTGCCCTGCTCCCTAGAGGGCTGGATCCACAGTCAGTCCTGATCTAAAGCAGACCCATGGAAATCCGCGGGGCGTAAATCAACCGGGACTGCTTCACGTTCCGTTGACTTCTATGGGTCTATTCCACACATGATGACTAAGCCAGGATCCCACCCCGCGTCTCGTGGGGAAAGAGTGGCGTGGGCGGATCTGTTCGATTCCCGCAGACACGACAGTCTCCGCACTTGAGTTCCTCCCAGGCTGGGCGAAAGAGTTTATCGAGTTTTTCAGGGCGTGCATCGTTTTATGTGCGGGTTTTTTCTCTCTTGGTTGTTGGGCTTGTTTTGTTGTTGTTTTGCCACTCTTAGGTTTGCAGGAAAGGAAACCCTCTTTCCCCGCTGCCTTCCCTTCCTTTTTTCACTACCTCCAAATTATTTCACTATTTTGTACCTGAAATTAATCTTTTTGCCAGGCAGGTCAGCGCGATCAACAGGCTGCTGTTTATTACAATGTTTTCATATTCCTCTCGGCTCCCCTTGCCCTCGCCCGGTTCACTGTGGATGTGACCTTTGTTATTTCAGCCTCCACTCAGCAGTTCAATGGAAACAAGTTGAGCACGTTCAATCCTGATAAACATTATGCTTAAACCACTAGGGACCCGGGCAGAGTAAACGAGCTTTTCCGACAGGACCACATCAGGAACACACATTGAGAAAAAGAACCGAAAAGCAGCCAGCCAGCCCTGGGAAGGCGGAGCTGGCGCGGCGGCGGCGAGGGGGTGGCACAGGAGGCAGGTTGGGGAAGAAAGACCCCGGAGAAAGCGGGGAGCAGAGCTGGGATCGCACCAAGAGTCGTCGCAAGGAAACGCGAAGGAACATGGTGCAGGATGAGTGTCGGGGGAGGTATAAAACCCCGACTTGACTGCCGGCACAGCTCTGTACAAGCTGTAATGACAGGATTCCCAGAGATCGACCATGGGCAAAATGAGCAAAACTCGTTCCAGATGCGTCCCACAGAACACACAGGAGGATTTGTCTTCTGCAGACCGAGCCCAGCACGTGTACGGGAGATGAGTGTCGAGTCCTGTTCTGTTTACTCGGAAGTAGCTTGGCGGGCAGGCAGTGGACAGGGAAATCCTAGGCAAAGATGTCTGTTTCAAGTCGTCCAAACGATCAATGCTGCTACTTGCTTACCAGATGAAGTGTGAGATCCTAAACCTGCCAGTACCCTGATCCTAAGCGAGAGTGTTCAGTGATCCTAAGCCAGTGTTCAGTAATCTTAAATTAGTATGCATAGCATTGCAGCCTTAATCAAAAATAAGTCCCATGGAAATCCAGAAAGCTAGATTCCGTAGAAATATGTTTAGGAGCTCCTAATCAGGAAAAACAAAACAAAACAAAACAAAACCTTCCTAAAATGAGGTGCTTGAATTTACTCCCACTGTAGAGCATGCGACTGCAAGGGTATGTCTGTAACATCTCCTTTGCATTCTTGGCAGGACGGTTTATTGAAATCCATAGGACCCGCCCGCCCCCCACCATGTAAACGGAAATAGGTTGGAGGTATAATACCTTGAGTGGGTAGCCTTCATTGGGTCGTGGGTCAAAGAGTTTCACTCTTGAGTGAATTCAGTGGGACACTGGGAACATTATGAGCCTGATCTGCACTAACTAGTTAGAACAAAGGATTAAGATTTCAAGATATTTAGGCTGTGATGGTGCTGGCCAGCAGCAGACACACAACAATGAGATTAAAAGGTCTTCTAGCCACGATGTAAGATCAAGGCGCTGGTGCCATTCAGTGTGCTTGCCAACCTGATTCAGAATCGCTTCCTTGGAATTAAGCGCTTCTATGACACTCTAATTTTTATTCTTGCACTATATTATCACCATCATCAGTTTGCTGGCACGTAGTGGGCACAGGGTGCAGGACTGGATCAAATGGGGAAGAGAAGTAAAACAAATATTCAGTCCTACTTCTTCAAGGCGACTTATTTATGAGCTGGACTGTGACTTCAAATTAATACAAACTGGGTACAGGTTGTTAGGATGACTTACAAGAGCCCCCTCTTTTCCATTTTGTCCTCACAACAGCAACCCTGAGAGGTGAATTAGGCTGAGAGCTTCATGGCTGAGTGGTCCCCAGAACCCAAGCCCCAGCCCAGCACTCTAACCACTGCCCTGCCCTGCCTGTCCTCTGTAACTCTTGGTTTGCCCTGATAAAAGTAGTTTTCAGTCTGTGAAAGCATATGCAGACCCTTGTGTAGCACAGGATTCCTCGCTGCAGTGGAAGAAACTCTGAAATTAGTTGACTACTTTCTTCCAATGTTTTAAATTAAACTATTTAATTCCCAAACCCCAAAGGGTGTGCCAGTCGCAAGGCTCCCTGAATATGGCCTCTTTTGGAACCCCACAAAAATCGGGGGTCTGCTGGTATCTAATGCACCCCGGTTGTCTCCAGGAAAGGTTCAGCAGCAAGGGAGCCATCAGGACACCTCCCCGGTGTGGGCTGCGTGACAGCCCGGCTGTACGTGCCCGAGCACGGAAGGAATCGCCTTGTTTAGCCTAAAAGCGCTGAGGTGCAAGAGGGCTCGACGCACGTTCCGGAAGGCAGCCCAGAATTATATTTAGTCTTGCTCAGAGCAAAGGCTTCACTCGATTTTCCGAAACAAACGTCCCCCTGTAAATAAGGGAAGACCCTCCCTGTCCCTCTTCCATCCGGAGCGGCGGCGACGAGGCCGTTTCTTTCGCCTCGGGTTCCCCTTGGGTTTGCCCTGTCAATCATTCCCGGTTAGTCGCACTGGACTTGCTTGCAACGCAAGCGACACCATGCAAACCCAATTCAGCGCCGGGTTCGCAACAGCCGAGCAGCCCGGCAGTTCCCCCGCGCCTTTGAAAGTGACATTGGCAAGCAGCGCCTCGCCAGATTTTCACTTCTCTTGCCGAGTGTTTTAAATTAACCCGCCGCCCTTAACGGGTTCGTTAGTATATTTTGGATGAGTTCTCCTTCAGCAACTCGACGCTAAAAGACGTCCCTTGGCAGGAAGGCCCAGTTAGGACCTATTTTCGAAAGGAGGTTTGTGAACTGGGGGCTGGAGGAGCGAACGCGGCTCCCCTTAGTACCGGGAGGGCAAAAAGGCTCGGGACGGCCTGGCTGAGGTCTTACGGTGCACGCTGCGGATGTCTTGGCGCTGTGCCTCAATATGCTGTATATTATCCCTCCCGATCCAGAAGCGCAACTGCGCCAGCCAAAACGCACAGTGCAGTCTTTCACCTCCACGAAAGTCGCTCAGAACTGAGCTCGCCGCAAGTTCAGCCAACATTTTCTCACACTTTCCCCTCCCTCTTAACACCTACAATATTATTTAGATGTTCGTGTCGCTGGAGCGGGAGCCATGTTTTAAGCACAGGCCGACAGTTAAAGCACGGGAGGAATTAATGAGTCGGTGACCTTCTCGTTCTAGGACCCTGCAAGAATCACAGACCAAAAGGAAAGAAAAAACGCTTACGGACCTGTGGATGCCTAGGGAAAATTCTGCCCATCAACCAGCGACGCATCAGCGGTGTGCCTTCAGGCGGCTGTAGTTTCTGCTAAACGTTTTCTTAGTCTGCCGCCTGAAATACACTTAAGGGGAAGCGATTCCCACAGAAATCCACTTAAATCAATTGCTCCAGTTTAACGGTGAAAGAAATGTGTGTTTGTGGAGCAGGGTTATATGTGAGGATAGAGAGATAGCAGCGTGCCCAGTGCCAGTCTCAGTTAAGGATGCACCATCGATGTATTCACTTATTGAAAACAGAAACAAAACCAGAGTTGCTTTATTTTTCCTAAGTACAGATGAGAGGCGCTACGGATGTCCACTCCCCCACCCTTACATGGCATTTCTAACTCTTCACTTGGCCTGGCATCTGCTGGACCCTTAATAGTGTTGACAGGTTCCTATAACCAAGCTCACAACAGGGGAAAACACACTATTCTTTCGGCGGGCTACAGGACAGAAGACCCTTCTGAAATGTGAAAATATTAATTCCTGCGTGGGTATATCCCCCGCCCCATGTATACAGCACAAAAAACATGCTCTTAGCGATTCCTGAACGTTTCTAGAGACTGGAAACAAAGCTAAAAGGGGGCCCTTCCCATGGCGTCTTGGAGTGCTACTCGCCGTATAAATGCATCGAGCCCTTCGCAGTATCGCTTTCCCTCGAACTTACCACCGTGCAGCTGTTAAATATCTGTGGCGTCGCCCTTGGATGGGGGATCCAGGTGCTGGATGCAGCACGCCTGCGAGAACGAACGGAAGAACCTTCCAGGGAGAGAGTGTCTGTCATTCCTGCCGACCTATCGCAAGGCGGATTTCCCCTTAGGTCCGCCCTCCGGGGGCGTGCCCCTGGTGAGTGATAGCCAGAGACGCCCCGGCCAGCCCAGCCCAGCCCAGCCCACGTTGCTGCGAGATTGAAATGCAGAACTTAAGTCTCCTGCATCGGGAAAGTGACTTCCTCGGGGTCCTTTTTCTTGACACCCTCGCCGCCGTCTCCTGCGGTGGACGCCGTAGGCCGCCGGGGCCTTCTCCAGCCGGGGCTGCGGGAGGCCGACAGGCAAGACTGACGCGGTCGCTTCGCTTCCTCCGGGATCGAAAGGGAGCCCGCTGCTCGGTGCCCTGAACTCGAGCCATGGGTAAGTCCGTCTGGCTGGGAAGCGGCGGGAGGAGGAGGAGGAGGGTGCGGGGCTGTCAAGGGAGGGAGAAGCGCCCGTGTGCAGTGGAGATCCGGCGCCCAGCAGCCGCCAGCGCCTTGTTGACTTTGCTCGTGTTCCGACAAGTCGTCGGGACGCGTTGAGGGTCAGCGGCGCAGCTAATAATCGCTCGGTTTGCGATTTAGGGCAGAACTGGAAGGAGGCAGGTGACTCTCTGACTTGCTGGGGCGCGTTGGACCCCGAGCCGCTCCAGCGCCGCGATCTCTCCTCCCCCCTTCCCTCACCCCCTTAAGGTATGTGCATTTCGGCGGGGAATCCCATCGGAGCTGCTGGCGACGAGGAGAGGAGCAGAGAAAGCAACCCGCAGTTCTCGCTAGCTGCAACACTTCCGTGCCCCGCGTTTCCCTGAAAACGTAAACTTTGCAGGCTTTCGATTTTAGATAATTTTATCACGCGCTTTTTGGGGTGGAGAGGGAGAAGAGGAAGTGGGGCAGGCGGACACCCCAATACACACACGCG